TTACATCCGGCGTTCAGTACTATTTCATATTGTTTTACAACACATGGTTTTAGCCCTCTGGTGGGAAAGACTTTAAAACAAAACTTACAACAGTTACTTTTCTCAACAACTGAAATTTAGAACAGTGTGTTTAAGAAAAATATGTGAACTGTTTACAATTTCAAATTAATATTGAAATGCACAGGTTTAGAATTTTCTACAGTGAAAAGTTTTCGGAACTTCAGTGTTCAAAAAAGTATACAAAAGCTAGACGTTAAGAACGTATCCAATGAGCGAGCAAAGCGAGTATCGGATTGCGAAGCAATCCGAAATGAACTGCGAAAGCGTTTCCGGGGGTTGGCAAGCGCCAGCGAACAGGGGGCGAAGCCTCCTAGTATAAAATAAAATAAGAAAGACACTATGTTTCGTATTACCCTATTTTCATCTATATTCAAATAAAATTAATTCTATACACGAAAACAAGGTCATTAAAACGTTCCATAAACTACAATTACACTTTTAATGCATTATTTGCAGTGAAGAATGCTAAGATAACTTCTTTAATAACATCCGTTATTTCACTCTCTTTTCTGCGAGTCTTCCACGCATGGGTGAGCAAATTCAGAAAAATCCTTCAAACATTTGATCTCAAGCAGCGTCGACCCCGTGGGATTCCCAATCTTTTAATCCTTTTTGATCTCATCACCTTTTCTGGAGTGATTACTATTTATGGAACATAACAAAAAAAGAATCATGACCATTGTCCTTTTTCTTTTTCTGACTTTTAGAACATTTGACGATATCTTCTCCTTCAGAGTGCAACTTATTTTGGAAGAATGGACTTTAAAACTATATTGGGTGAGTACATAGCTAAATTTTTGTTAATCTACGGGGTTCCAACTTGCAAGGGTTTGTTCGAACCTTTAAAAAATGATGACATTATTAATTTTTTCTAAAATAATTTATAACAAATTTTAAAAATTTATAATTATATTTTATAATTATATTTATAATTTAAACAATTCGTAACCTTCCATTTTAAAATGAAAATTTTAAAAACGCAAAATTTAGCAATTGTAAAAATTTATTCTAGTGGTGGCTATGTTTATGTTTTAATGTATTATTTTTTATTCGTTTAAACTTATTTTTCTGCGCCACTACATATAAATAATTTTAAAGTTCATATGCAACGCCGCTTTGTTCCAGCTCTGACGTGGTGAGGCTTTTATAATGTTGGCAAAATTACCAAATATTCTGAAATCTTTGGTTTTTAAATGTCTACCACTTTATAAAATATTTTACAGAAAGCGTAGTAGTTGCCAGGCCTGTTTATTTAACACTAGATTGCCTAAGGAAGTCATTTTGACTGCTTTTTGATTTCAATTAGAAAAACAATGATGACACATTTTCTTAGAATTTGGTGACTTTTTGTACAACATGCGATTTTTTTTCTATTGTTAATATTTACTAATGACTTGTTATATAAATGAAAATAATATCAAAAGTATTAAAAATTAATTTTTAAAATTTTTTTTATACATTAGTTATTCTTTCAGAATGCAGTCATTTTGACTGCTTTTGGGCAATATAGGTATTTCAGTCTTTCTAGAGTTAAAAATGTTAAGTGTTGTGGCGATAACAAACCTATCACTACATATGCTATTTTTTTAATTTTTAAAATTTTTTTTTAATTGTTTAATTGCCAATGTTCCATTTTTGGAGCGTGCCTCGTTTTAAAACTGTTAAATGCTGATATCTCAAATATTTTACTCTCATACTTATAATAGAAAAAATGAGTATTGTATTCCTATCAACAAAAATCTATTTATTAATTCAATTATACATATTGTGATAGATATTTTTTTCAAAATCAAATAGTTTTTGCATTTTTTAACAAAATTAGTAGCTAGCTGGAAGAAATTCCACTTAATTTACATGCAAATCTGATACTACGTTTTTTATAAAGGCACTTTTTCCCTTGACTCAAAAGAATGGGCAATTGTTTAGTTTAAAATTCTCTAACGTCATTAGATTTCATTTAACCGTTTTACATTTATAATTTTATTATTCATGATGATAAAACTTTGATCTTTATTAAATTTTAGTTCATGAGACAAAAAGGAAGGAACATCAAAATATATTTGAAGTTCAAAACTAAAATTTATAACTGATGTGAAACATTACATTTTTATAAAATAAAATTGGTTTCTAAAATTGTTTTAATGATACCATAAAAAGATAATTGTTTTCTTATTATCTTATGTATCCTCATTGGATAGAAAAATCACATGTAGAAACATTAACTAACAAAGAAAGTCCCTAAATATCTTTAAATGGTATCAACATATTACTAAAGTAATACATTAAAGTATTTATCTGCAAATTATTTGTTTATCGCGTATTTAATGGCATTTACATGCATTGTTTATTTATCATCGTTTCTTAATATTATTCGCTAAAATTATTGCGTTTTTGGTTATGATTATTGTTCAAACTTAAAGGTTTAAAACTATGAATGTTGCTTTTTAATTCTATTAAAAATTGATCACACGATATTACCTTATAACGAAACNTTAAATATTTATTATGTTTAAATAGACATTGATAATTGTAAAATGAATGGGCAATTGTTTAGTTCAAAATTCTCTAACGTCATTAGATTTCGCTTAATCGTTTTACATTTATAATTTTATTATTCATGATGATAAAATTTTGACCTTTATTAAATTTTAGTTCATGAGACAGAAAGGAAGGAACATCAAAATATATTAGAAGTTCAAAACTAAAATTTATAACTGATGTGAAACATTACATTTTTATAAAATAAAATTGGTTTTTAAAATTGTTTAAATGATATTTCTCACTCTATACACCATAAAAAGATAATTGTTTTCTTATTATCTTATGTATCCTCATTGGATAGAAAAATCACATGTAGAAACATTAACTAACAAAGAAAGTCCCTAAATATCTTTAAATGGTATCAACATATTACTAAAGTAATACATTAAAGTATTTATCTGCAAATTATTTGTTTATCGCGTATTTAATGGCATTTACATGCATTGTTTATTTATCATCGTTTCTTAATATTATTCGCTAAAATTATTGCGTTTTTGGTTATGATTATTGTTCAAACTTAAAGGTTTAAAACTATGAATGTTGCTTTTTAATTCTATTAAAAATTGATCACACGATATTACCTTATAACGAAACATTTATTGATAAAGTTATTGAGTTACCGTTTCAAGATAGTTGAATGGTAAATAAGTTATAAATTTTTTATTATAAATATTTCTTAAAACAGAGCTCAGTCAGCGCAAACAATATTGAATTTAAAATTAATATTTAAAATAATAAAGCTACATTGAAAATTATTTTGTCATGCCACAAAATAATCTCTTTGACGAAATAAAAAAAAATATTTAATTTGATTTTACAATAACCAAAAATTATATAAGAATTTAAAAAGTAAGTTCATGGAATGAATGAATGAGTAATTGAATGAATGAATGAGTAATTGAATGAATGAATGAATAATTGAATGAATGAATGGGTAATTGAATGAATGAATGAGTAATTGAATGAATGAGTGAGTAATTGAATGAATGAGTAATTGAATGAATGAATGAATGAGTAATTGAATGAATGAATAAGTTTAAATTTTATTCCTTTAAAAATGAGAACACTTCTACTCACTGATTCTTTGCAAACTCTGATTCTATCTTTATTTTGGCAAATGCTTTGGAAGATTTTATTTGGATAAACTGTTGATACAATATGAAAAATAATGCTTGTGGCTTTTAGGTCGAGATGAAGAGCGAAAGTTAATAACTTTTTTCTAGCTTTAATTCCACTACAATTGTAAAAGCGTATTATTTATTAACACGCTAATTTTAATTATAATATTTTACATTGCTAAACTGTCTGCATTTCTTTCGTCTTTCGTGACAACGTGTATTACACCACTGCCTGTTGACATGTTGAACACTCCGCGTCGAAACACCAACAAATCCAGCAACTTCATTCACCGCATGACCATGGGCACGGCCAAACGCAATTGCCCTTTTTTGCCAATCTGTCACATCCTTACATTTACCCATATGTACTACACACAATTTCCGCTTAAAACAAAAATATCCCAATGATGCCTATTTGCCTTTGATCACGTTGAGGCAGTGGGTAAGCAATTGAGGACGTCATTTGACTACTGCGTCATCTAAGGGAACCTAGCGATTCATCGGTGCTTGCGCACTAGGGTGATTAATTTTTTGTCCGGTGAGCTTAATTTAAATTGAAATATTTAAGGTTTAAGAAGGCAAATTCCTTTGTTAAGTTTTGATGAAAATTCGATTTGTTTTAAATATTTTTGTTTTACTTCATAACCAATTAAAAAAAAAGATTTTATATACAGCCAAAGGCAGTTATGTCCATATCTAAGAGTCAGTCGCTTTATATACAATCAATTTTCACAAAATCGTTCCGTTCTCAGCTGAGTGTAAGTGGTTATATTATATCTGTCATTGAAGAGTTGTAATCTATAAAGATGAAATCGAAATTAAATTTTCTTACCACAAAACCTATTTTGCTGATCAAATTTCACGATAAGTTTATTTTAGAAAACAATACATTATTCTCGTGAGAAAACATAATGTTTTTTTTTTTTGTAAAAATAGTTGGATGATAATATGCATCTTGGTAACCGCTGGATTTGTTAATTCGCTCAAACTACAAAAAAATATTATCACGCTATATCACGTGATAGGTGGCGAAAGCTTAAGAAAAAAAACTTTTTTCAAATTTCAGTTTTAAACACGTTGAAATGTTTTAAAAAAATGTGTTAAAATTTGTGTACGCTCCTGAAAAGTCTACTTAAAATTAAATTTTGTCAAGTATGTGTTCAGTAAAAAAATTACATAATTCTATTTTGTTCCGTATGAATGCCCGGTCCGGTGATATAACTTATTTTCATCGGATTATCCGGAGACGGATGCCTAGATCTGGCCCATTGAAAAATTCAGTTATCGCTGGATTCTCCGCGCAAAGTTAAAAGATCCGATTCATTTCAACCTTTTATTACAAATGCATTGTGGAAGGCACGCATTTATTTGCTTCATTAAGATAAATTTAATTTTGAAATCCCGCTCTTTATTTTCGGGATCACGAATGTCTTATTTATAGGCAATTAATTTCAAAAATGTAAAGGGAGACCATTATTTATCCTATTGAATATAGAACAAGAACGTTTTGGCACTCAAGCTGGTAATAAGCAATTACAAAAATAATTTATTTTCTATTTTAAAATTCTATTTTAATACCACTTTTATTCTATTGATTTTATTTATATATAATTTTTTTTTACATAGCACGTTGATTCAATTCTTGAAGTTAAGTTGAAGCATTAAATTGAATAGCTACCATTTGAAATAAGTGGCAGCTATAACATAATAAGTTAGAGCATTATCTAAGACTAGTTTGCTATTATCGTAATCTAATTGATAATCAGGTTAACAGAGCTTCCACGACCTGAAAAAAATTAATGAGTGGTAGCTGAGAGTTTTCAAAACTTGTTTTTTCAAAACTAATAATATACATTTAGTTTTCGTGTGAGAATCACGAAATATTTTCCTGGGGTACTTTTTGAACCTTCATATATTTCTTTTATTATTTGCTTAACACCTCTAGATTTATTTCTATTCTGCTATCACTTTAAAAAAATTTCCAGACAGTTCGAACCCTGGTTTTAAACATATTTTTTTTTGTTTGGTGTTATTTACCACTTTTTTTTATAGAAAAGAATAATTTTAGATAAAAATATGCTTTCTTCTTACCAAACAACTTCGTACTACCTCTTGTCA